GTTCCCACTTGATGGCAGTAAGTTTGAGGTTTTTTTAAGATTTCATAGTTACCTATCCTCTCGGAACCTTAACTATGCCATCTGCAATACTGTTGTTGTTGAGTACCATAGAGTTGGAACCGATTCATAGCTGATCCTCCAGTGGATTTTCAGAAAAGGCAGTTAATTGCAAGGGAGGAGAATGCCCATTGTTCTCCCTCTCAGTAGCTGGTGGCCTCGAACCACATGCCTTTGGGATTGCAGTGCAGCTTCTTGCCACTAGGGCTCCCTTCTGTAATATTGGAAATGGTAAAAATAACACTTCAGGTGGGACTGATAAATCCTCAAAAACATACTCACACACTGATAGTTTATATGTAATTGGTTGTTGTTGTTGTTGTTGTTGTTATGTGCCGTCGAGTCGCTTGCAACTCATAGCGACCCTATGTACAACAGCCCTAAACTCCGCTCTGTCCTGTGCCAATCGCACTGTCTCAGACACTCCCATCCCAATTATCCCAGTCATGAATCAATCCACCTCATAGAGGGCCTTCCTCTCCTGAGCTGTCCCTCCACCCTCCCAAGCATGATGTCCTTCTCCAAGGACCGGTCTCTCCTCACAACATGTCCAAAGTATGTTAGACGGAGCCTCAGAACCCTTGCCTCCAAGAAGCCACCCGGGTTAACCCTTTCCAGGACAAATCTGTTTGTTTTCCTAGCAGTCCATGGTATTCTCAATACTCTTCTCCAGCACCACAGCTCAAAGGCATCAATTCTCCTTCTATCCTCCCTGGTCATTGTCCAACTCTCTGATGCATAACAGGTGATTACGAAGACCATGGCCTGTATCAGACGCACCTTAGGAAGAAAAAATAAATAGGAAAGAAGCAGCCCTTGGTGGTGGGGCATTCTGCTGCCAACCAAGTCCCTGGCAATTTAAAACCAGCAGTTGTTTCTTTGGGGAAAAATATGAGGTAACTTTGCTTCTGGAAAGATTTACAGCCATAGACAGTTCTACTCTGTTCTACCTGGTCACTATGAGTTGGAATCAATGCAGTTACTGTGAGTGGGTTATTGGAGTAATATAATAAGTAGGTTTAATTTTGTTCCATTATTAGATCATCATAAACTCACCTCTTCCTGCCTGTTAAGTCAAATGGTCAATGCCAGTACAAAAAAAATATATCTATTTATACATATAACTATATATAACTGATATATAGATATATATAGAGATAGAGGTATATATAGATATAGATATATAGATATATAGATAACACTCCTTCCCCTAGAGTTGTCATCCTGAATTCAGACCTGTAGCATCCTTAACAATGAAAAAAATCCCAAATTACTGTTTGCTAAAACTACTCTTTCGTGGTATTATATTATAGCATCACAAAGTAACTAAGACATTATGTGACAGTATCTGGCATAAGTCACTGAATGACTTTAAAGAAAAATTGTCAAGCCTTAGTTTATTTTTTTAAAATAAAATTTTTATTTTAT